CAGCCCACATATTCCAGCACTTCACCCTCATCCCTGCGGGGCCGGTACATTAGACGCAAGCATCGCGCCTCTGGCCTTAGTTAGGATTTGTTTTAATGAAACTAATCCGTGACAACTCTCGTCCATTCCACTGGCCTTGTAACCCTCAGTGAAATGCTTTTAACATTTCTGTGGACCTCAGCTGCTGCAGGAGCCAGAAGAGATGAACCATAACAGACAGAGCAGTCAGTTTGAGCAGCGTGTACGACCAAAAAAACGAAACAACTTGTGGTGTTTTAGACATTTTTATGCACAGCAATGATCACACAAAACAGTTGTAAACCATGTATAACACAAAAAACAAAAAAAAAATAGCGCTACTTTCTATGATCCATATTCACGCCAATATAGAGTTACAAATAAATTAAATGTGTGATTTTTGATAGATGCAATGTATTTATGACCCTCGGACGTTCACTGAGGGAAACACAGTGTATGAGTGAACATGACATGATGTGGGTTGAGGGTGCACCAGGGATGGGTTGCAAACACACAATCAGACGAAGATACTGGTGAGGAGTGTAGAGACACACAACTGTCAACATTCAGGATTCATATTACTGGGCACATTATGTTGATCTTCAGTCATCACCTCCAGACTCTCACTTTTCACTTTTCTTTTCCTCTCTAGCAATTTGAGCTGCAAGGCAGAAAGAAAAAGTCAGGATGTCAAGGTGTTCGGCATCAGATCTACAGCACCACAGAGAGGAGACAGGTGACCGTATTGTGATTCAATGTCAATATGTACCATCAGAAACACACTGATTTTTAAATCTCAGAGACTTGTACATGTGTTACATGTGGCATATAACCCCCCTGGTTGTCCTTAAGGGTACTGCAGGTTGGCTCTGAGATGTCATGTACATCCCAAATATTGTTATTATTATTTTTGTTTTTAATTTATTATGGGGAACATGCTTTTGGTAGATATTTTGAAAATTATTACATCAAATTTAAATTATATATTTTAAATAAATATATCATATAAATGAGACATACTGCACTATATATATATTATTTTTTAACAACCTGAGATTAAATTATTTTGGACTTGATGATGTTTATCTTGATAAAGAGAGTAAAGTGAATATTGTTTTGTTTTTTTTTTCTCCCCTGTTACCCAGAGGGACACTCACGTCGAACCTCCAGTTTACACTCCACTATGTCTTCTCCACTCTCGTTGACTGCTTTGCACATGTAAACCCCTCCATCAAATGGACAGGGTTTACGGATCTCCAGTGTGAGGACGCCTTGTTTGCTCAGCATCCGGTACTTGACTTCGTTCGAGATGTCCATTTTGTTTTTGTACCAGGTCACTTTGGGCTACGATTGAGCAGAACAGTAGCATATTTTCACTGTCAATATTAGTCACACATTTGTTAATATTTGATGTCATGACTCTGCTGACCTTTGGGATACCCCTGACTGAGCAGCTGAGGGTGGCGCTGTATCCTGCTATGACGGAACGGTTCACTAAAGGGTGTGTGAACTTGGGGGCTTCCGCAAAGTCGGGGTCCTTGTATGATGGCGGCTTGTATTCAATACCTGAGGGGCCAAAAATATATTTATTAATGTGTTGGACTATCTTGGCTTCAAAACAACAATAACTCTTAATTGCAACAATCAGAAGAAAAAAAAAGACGTATTGACGCATGATGTGGTTGATACAAATTAGTTGGCTTCACAAGATTTTTATTTTTTTTATATTTCACTGCATGACATGATGCCTTGCTGGATTGAGGTGTGGTGTTTCAGCCATGTCCTAGAGACAAGTTAAAGACGATAAAGTGATGCTAGCTTTGTAGCAGCTTAGAATAGCCATTCAAACCATGTGCTAATAAACTATCTGGTATTTAAATGTGTCAGTAAACCCTGCTCAAACAATTACACCATCATTAACACCAACCGTAACTGCTGATGCGTGCTTTTGTGTTGTTTACAGAAAACTCTGGCCCAGCTTTACAAATGTCGCAGCAGAAACTCAGAGACCTCGGAGTAATCAGCTGATGAGATGTTAGCATTTGCTGGAACAGGTACGAGGTCAACCGAAACACACATTTTTGTCACCTTTTTTCTGAATGAAAGCACTGTCCTTGGTGTTGCAGGCTTCCAGGCTGAGGCCCACCAGGTTTGCGGAGAAGACTCTGAAGACGTATTCGTTGCCCATGATGAGGTCGGAGGCAATGCAGTTGGCTCGTCTGTACTGTTCGTACACTGTGAACCACTCCTTTGGATTTACAGGGAAAAACAAAACAACAGTATATTTATATTCAAAGTCACATCAGTCGACGCTTCGCTACATTGTCACAAACTAACAGAGAGCTTAGAGTACGATCCGAAACAATGTAGGCTTTGGATCTTTTTCCTAGGAACATTGAGGGACTATCAGGCAGCTGACGCTCCTTTATGTCATATCAGAGGAGAACGTGGAGCAGTTGCTGGTAACATAATAACCAGCATTCCTAAATTCCTAGAAAGGGATGCAAATAAAAATAATTTGTTCTAATTAAGACCACAGAAAACCACAGACTGTCAACAGGGCCGCGCACGGATATAAAGCTCCTGCGTCACATCACAGACAGTCCAGTCCAGTTCAAGGCTACCAGGATAAGATTAGGACATTCCTGTTGGACTTTGTTCCTGGCAGCTCTTGGTGGAGGATGATGACAGCTGGAAACTCTCGCCAACAAGCCCGTAATGTATCACCGCTGTCCCACATAAGAGCCCGTGGGCTCAGCATTGGCCGATAACACTGAATGTGTCACAAGAGGCGGCTAAAATATCCCCGTGTGTCTGTGCGGCCTTCATCCTCCCACATGTACACACGCTCCGCTCGGCCGCGCACGCAGGGAGGAGATGTGGCGTGGGTGGCTGTCAAGGGTAAAACTAGCCATAACGATCCATACTATACTGTTGTACCATAAGACAAAGCCTCACCATGGTTTTTTTCTCGGCCTTCTGAATGGTGTACCCAGTGATTTCACAGTTTCCATTGTCTTTCGGAGGTTTCCACTCCAGGGCCACGTTGAAGCCCCAGATATCTGCGATTTTCAGCGCCTCTGGTGGACTTGGAAGGTCTACAAAGACGGAACCATTTTAGGAGGTCTGGTAATGTGATTTTTTAAAATCCTTGAATACCGACACAACAACAGTTTTCCAGTGCGTTCAGTCAAACTCACCGACGATCTGAAGGTTGACACAGCCTGTGTCCTCTACGTTCTCAATCTGCACCTTTAGTTCATACTTTCCAGAATGCTGTCTGTCCGTTTTACGGATGAAGAGGATTGTATCTACTTCGCTGTTTCTGACGTTGACTGATGACGGGTTTAAAGGCTCCCCGTCTTTGCTCCAGGTGACTATGGGCCTGGGTTTACCCTGAGTGACCAGGAGACACAGACACAGTCAAGGCCACTGCCAAGGCATGTGATCGGTATGCATCAAATTGAGATTTTGCGATGTAATAGTTTCATTAATTAACATCACCTGGAATGGAATCATGAGATTGACAGTCTCACCAACTCTCTTGATGATCGTCTGGCGCAGATGTCTGGGGATTAAGATCTTAGGCCGTTCTGAGAAAAGTAACGTTAAAATATATACATATATGTGTGTGTATATGTATATATATAGGTCTGGTCCACTCACGCATGATCTCTCTGATAGTGACCGGCTGAGTCAAACAGGTGGGAGAACTGGGTCCAGCCATGTTGTAGGCACGGACACGGAACTGCAGCTTCTCTCCTGTGGTCAGGTCCCGGATTTTTATTGACGTCTTGTCAGTCAGACCTTCCATGGCTGGAATCCATTCATCAGCTGGGAGCAGAACACAAAATGATCTTTTGTTGATTTATTTCAGTATCAGTATCAGTATTCCAGTAGTTTGATTTCCTCCTTCGTCTGTTGTTGAATATATTTTGTAACCTGACAGCCCATCTGTGAACCTCTCATATTCTCAGATCAACGTAGCATCTCATTTAAAGCAACACCAGATTTTTTGCACGTTTGTTATACTGGGAAAGTCGATCCACTCCTGTATTAGCTGGTAGAAGTACAATATCGATTTCAGCTGGAGAGTCGGTGGCTGCAGTACTCACAGCCCTCCTTGCAGTACTCAACCCCATAACCCATTAGTTCAGATGATCCGATCCTCTCCGGTGGTCTCCACTTCAGCGAGATGGAAGTGTCACTGAGGTCGTCCACGCACAGTCCAATCGGCTGACTCGTAGGAGCTGAAAAAAAAAACAAAAACAAAAGTCAATACCTGGTGTTACTCCTGATGGTCACGGAGTCAACTGGTCTGCTCATTTCTATTTCTGATTTCTATTTTTGCACGGCATAATCGTTAATACTGGAGAGCGTGTTTTTTATACAATTTCATGTCTGGATCTTGGTTGTGAAAACCACTGCACAGGAATGAGATAAAATGTCATTTTAACTGGGAATGAATGTAACTGGGAAAGGAGTTGGTCAAGATAAATTGAAGTCATTTCTCTACAGAGTCTTCATTCAGTCTAAAGAAAAAATATATTTAATAAAGCTGTGGTTCCGCGCCCCCCCCGCCCCCGGCGGACCCCCCCCCCCGGGGGGGCATTTTTCCCTCCACTGCAGGGGAACCATTTTCCATCGGGAGTCCACATCCACTGTTGGCTTCTCAGTGTCTCCCCTGCAGAGAAACCTGCTGGTGGTTCTCAGCTGGATTGTCATTCCCGTTCTGCCTCCAGCATTAACGCTAAATCCCTAAGCTCTAACTGGGAAGCTAGTTAGGAATCAGCAGACCTGCTACTGACACCAGCTGCATGGAGAATGTGTCCCCGTCTTCTGCCAAATGCCCTTCTTTAACCTATGCTCCAACATCCTCCACGCTATCTCCTGATCATCCTGTAGTCTGTCTCCTCTCTGCAGCGGCCCACACAGATGCGTGGACTGCCTGTGTTAAACAGTTGATCCCAGCAGATCCCGGCGCTTCCAGGCCATTATTTATAGAGAGGAATGCCAGAGATGACTTCCTAATGTGCTGTTTTGTCAAATGAGCAGCCGTTTGGACGCAGCAGTGTTCCTTGTTAAATCGACGAGACAGTTCAACTAAGATGTTTGATAAATGTCCATTAGTGACACACTGCCAGCTATTAGACACACACATATGTGTGTGTCTATATATGTGTGTATATATAAATACATATATGTATGTATGTATGTAATATATAAATATTGAAAAACAAACTTTATACATTTTATACTCTTACAGATGCAAACATATATTAGTGATTTCCATAAACATATGTATACACATATATGTATAATTATACTCTCAATTATACATAAATGTGTAATTGACAGTATATTACACACATATATACTTTATGTATATATGTATATAAATAAATGTGTATATATATTATAGAAATATATGTATACATATATAACAAATATATACAGTATATAAATTGGGAATAAAAAATGTTTTTGATACTCCATTCTACTAGTGGCTCATGTTGAGAAATCTTCAGTACAAAATACCTTAAAACTTTTCTGTAATTTAAAACAATATTTATTTGCCACAGCAGGTGGCGCTCTGACATATATACCTATGACCGTTATGTGAATCATGTACTGTATGTACGGCCTATATTTTTGTGACAGTGAAACAATCAACATACTTCTCAGGTTACAACAAACATGACCCCCTCGACCTCCGCCCGCCCCACCTTGTCATGACGACAAATCATCCAGGCCCTGAACGGGCCCACAGAAACCCAAGAGCAACCAGAGCAGGAACGACAGGACCAGAGAGCCATCAAACATGTCAACATCATCACCTTCAGCTTCACCACATCTCGTTAGCTGACGAGGAGTCATTTATTTAAACTATAATAACTCCGTTACACAATGAAGCCCCTTTTTTGTGGGTAGGTTTAATACACACACTGTGTGAAAACTCACCGACCGGCACGAACGGTTGAGAGGCAGGGCTGTGACGTGACATGCCAATGCTGTTGACGGCGTACACTCTCATCTCATACTGCACGCCTTCAATCATCCTCTTGGCTTCATAGGTTGTGTCTGGGTAGGGGTCAAAGTTCAGCCTCATCCACCTGTAGCTCCTCGTTTTCTTCCTCTCCACGACGTATCCTATGGAAGAGATATGGAAAACAATAGTTGTCGTCCTGCTCTCAGTAATACGGACAATAGGAGGAGGAGGATTTTTTTTTTTTTACCAATGATTGGATGTCCACCGTCAAATGCAGGGGGATCCCACTGCACAACACAGGAGTCTTCTCCCATGCTGAGGATCCTGGGAGCTTGAGGAGGATCTGGAACATCTGAAATGATTGTATAAAGACATACGTTTTTGATGTTCCATCCTGACAGGACTATGGTCTCGTCTCCTCGTACTTAACCAACTCCCTTACCGACAACTTTGACGTTGATATCAGCAGTGTCTTCTCCAGCAGGGTTTCGCACCACCACAGAGTAGACTCCTTCGTCCTGCCGCTCCGCCCCTTCGATGGTGAAGATACAGTGGCCCTTGGTGGTCTCAACATGGACCCTCCCATCTCCCTCCGATATCACCTGCACGACGAGGAAAATGAGTCAGAGCGCACGGTGCGACACTGCCGGAGTATTTTTGAAGGCGTGTGAATCTCAGATCACACACACCCAGTAGACCATGTCATACGCCACACTGATTTACATCAGTCCTTGGGCTTTCATTTGGTAAATCATGCTTTTCAAAACAGGTCGGTTTGAACGAATTTCCCCAAATGTCTCCATGCAGATGCAGCACCAGGCCTCTGATGATGTTTTGTTTTGCAGAAAAAAAAACATTACCATTGTCGTTATTTTTAAAAGGGGCTTCGTTTACCTCTGTACCAAATATTTAAGGATAAGGAAGGTCATTTCCAGGACTAATCTCTCAAAACTCAAAAGAAATACATTATTTGTGAACCCACATATGGAATTTTCTAAGGACAATGGGAAATATTAAAACCATTTTAAAACACTATTTTATTTTATTTTTTATTTTTCACTTGCTTAGGTGTATTTCTTCTTGTGAACCACACAGGTTCTTGACTATAGTCACTGGCTTGTTGTCTGATGTGTTTGTGACCACACTGCATATGAGTGCATATATAGGTACAAAGTTGACTCAATAGGTCATAAAACAGATGATATTATTTAAAAAAGTCGTGTCCCTCTGCCAGGCCTTCCAACCAGCTCTGTTAAATTTATTTGATCCAGTTTTTCACATCTCTCCAAAGAACATTTTATAATCAGAGAAACTTACCAACCTGGATAAACAACAGGTCGGCTTGTGGAAATTTTGCATCTTTATCTAGGTACACTGTTATATTTTCCAAAACCTGAATTATTATTATATTAACATTATTATTTGACTTTTGTTTAGGAATCCCGTTGTGGGCCGGATTGGACAGTTTGGCGGGCCAGATTCAGTCCATGGGCTGCCAGTTGATAACCGCTTGTGAACAGTAAGTAGCCTTTTATTTTTTTTTTTTTTGTTTTTAAAAAATAAAAAAAATAAAAGGTTTTTTTTTTTTTTTTTTTTTTTAGATTTATCTTGGAACTTTTAGTTCTACCCTTGTGTAATTTGTGTAAAGTAAAGCCTCAGCAGTCTGTAGGTAAAAACTGCAGCCCACTGTTGTAGGTCAGTCCACCATCCATCACCACTTACAGGCAAACCGTGTCATCCAGTTAACACACCTACCATTTTTGTCACCAACATATTCCTCTGCACACTGTTATTAAGATTAATAACAGGTCCTTCTGAGAAACTGAATGTGCTCCCACCCAAACACAGGCAGAAGCAGCAAAACAAGTCATGCACACTTACCTTCCCATCTGTCACGATCCAAGAGGTGGTCTTCCCTTCCTTCTCCTCGCCTTCAGCTTTAACAGAACTAGCCTACATTTGAGCAGAGCAAAGTAGTAAAAGCCGCAGCACTAGGGTTGTTAGAAGCAGCGTAGCCACATTGATTTAGCCTCAGAAAACTGCTGAAATGCTCCAGTTAATACAGAGGAATGGAATTAAATGAGGTTAAATTGTTATGGGTGTCTGATTTTATTAAAAAATGAAATTATGCAAATCTGTAAAGCATGTTAGTCCTATGTGCCTCTCACCTGATTCAATGTTTTTGGCATCAAGTAAACCTCCAAATCAGGATGTAACATTTATAATTTTTTGTTAAACCAGGGTTGTGCAATTTACTAGATCTACCAGTAGATCACTAATTATTACAGATAATGAGTAATTACAAAAATAAAAAATAACAAGTATATATACATGTACATGTATATATATATATATGTATGTGTGTATGTGTGTGTGTATGTATATATATGTGTGTGTGTGTGTGTGTGTATGTATATACACATATATGTATATATACATTTATATATATATATAAATATACATGTACATGTATATTTATATATATATATATTCTAGAGTGTGTGTTGGTGAACATATACTGGAGGTATTTAAACATATTTTTCCATACAGCTACATGCATTTAATCAGTGCCCCAAAGAACTCAAAGGCAAAGTCAAGAACTCAAAGGCAAATGATACTTCCTGTCAAATCTGTAATCAGTTTTCAGTCATAATGAAATAGGGCTGAATGCATCATCACAACCAGTGGCTACATGCATTTAATCAGTGCCCCAAAATATGATATATATGTATATACGATCATTCAGCCCTCCCTGGTCAAGAACTCAAAGGCAAATTTCTTACAAATAGAACCAGCTTATTTATTTATTTATTTTTTATAAATTTTACTGTAATATGCAAACTTAAAAGTAACCATTCTATTTCTTACAAATAGAACCAGTGGAAAAAAGTACCAATCCTTACTTTTTACTGTTGTGACGTGAGAGTTTCTTGTCATTACATCCCGACTTTCAGTTCATTTTGAATTAGTCGGAGTTATTGTTATTGTTTTCTCTGTGATTTTCTGTACGTTCTGTACGTCATCCAGGACAGCTGTGACCTGTCAGGTGATGGACGTGTGAATCTGATCATTAAGTAAAAAAGGTTGACTGTCCACTTGTCCCTGTTACCTTCTCTGCTTTAGTCCACACCACCGTGGGGGCGGGGTCTCCAGTGATGGGGACGTCCAGTCGTAGTTTGTTCCCAGCCACTACTATTATAGTGGACTCGGCAGTACGACCCAGACAGTCCAGGTGGATTTTAGGAGGATCTGAAAGACAGGAAATGAACCAGCTTCTACATTTCCATCTGCGTCTGAACGTGACGTGATATCATGTCAGATTTGAATGCTTACCTTGACGCGGCACGAAATCAATCTTCACCTCTAGAAACAAAAAAAAAAACAATAGAAAATTATATTAAAAAAAAGATTCAGTAAATTATGTTATTTCTCAAAAAAGGTCAATTTTTTACCCAAGAAGTTGAGTTTGGCAGAAAGGTTGAAAGCATAACCATCTGGTACAAAAGTGTAGTCGCCCTCGTCCTCTGGTTTGACCTCATCAATGGTCAGTTTATGGTTCCTAAAGAAAAATAGGAGGAAAAAAAATCATTCTACCATCTGGGAGTAAGGAATTAAATGTAATTATGCATTTGTTAAAAAAACAAAAACTGTCACCTTCCAATATGTGTGATATTTATTCTGGCATTGGGCTGGACTTCCACACCGTTCTTAAACCAAGTTCCTCGCACGTTCTCGTCAGAAACTTCACATTTGAAAACGGCCTGATCCTTGGCCTTTACCGTGAGGTCTGCAATGCTCTGGTACACCTCCAGTTGTTTTTCTTTAAAAAAAAAACAAAAAAAACAAACCAACACAAGACCCATCAGACATCCAGATTTTTAATATCAGTATGGGATATGATCCACTAATATGGAGGATAATGCCGTAAACAGAGATGGATGCAGATATCGTATACGAGAGTAATACGTTTAGGTGTGGCGTCTTTATCGTCTCCGTGTTCTGTATCATAGCAACAGACACAAGGGGAAGCACTGATTGGATTTCTGCGAGGAAATAAAGTAAGAGGATACGAAGACCAGATGCAGGAGCCTGGGGTTATTAATGCACATCACAGGAAATAATGCACAGAGGACTTATTAAAGTTACCTCAAAGAAATGATTTCCCGGTGAGATAAATCACACCGAGCGCCTTTTGTAAAGGTTACACAAGTTTCATATCAGCTCACCGCCGGCTGCGGAGGGCAAATAAGGTAGGAATGGCTGTAATATGGGAGGTGTTGGATGGAGGTGTTGATCCCTGCTGCACGATGGCAGCTGGAAATTCTTGGCAGGCTCAGTGTTCGATTAACAGGCCAGACTGGGCTCGGCAGGACTCGACGGGAGCAGGGATTGGGTGGAAATCGACACACAGCAAATTCAAGCGGGCCAACATCTGTATGTCACATGTGCAAATATATATATGTGAATACAAATAGACTAGACTAATAGACTAAAGCTTCAATGAGCAAACATAGAAAAAATGTAATAAAGATGTAGAAGATAGGTGGTCAAGTCATTTTAAATTGGTTAGAGTATTGTCTTTATTGACAAAAAGATTATTTTATTCTGTTTTGTTTTATTTTATTATTTTATTATTTTATTATTTTATTATGGATGTTTTTGTTGTTCACATTTATTTTTTTCATTATAGATTTGACAGATTAATAGTAAAGATATGCTCAGTTTCCTTTGCTGCATCAATGTTTAATTATTAGAGAGAGTTACGATGAGTTTCCTTTGCTGCATCAATGTTTAATCTTGCAGGAGATAATATACGTGTAAAGTTTTTGAATCAGTAATCAGTTATACCTAGTAGTACTTAAAAATTGACTTTCTTGCACAGAAATTCAATATATTCTATTCTTCTAATGCTACTAGCTATTTTAGTGTTCATGTTATTAGAGAGAGTTACGATAATATTATACAACGAAACACCTGACACGAAAACTTGAACTAAGAAAAGATAGATTGAAAAAAAGACTGAGGAAAATCAGTCAGTCGCTCCGGCAGATCTGTGTCCTTCAGCTGAAATGTGGCCTTTAAGTCTCCTAACTTTAGCTGCTGTGGACAAGGACATCAGTGCAGTGTCCTTGACAGAATAACAGTGTTGACGACAAGAGTCACTGTATCCCAGGAATAGACGGCATGCCAAGAGTGGCAGAGCCGCCAGGCTGTTGCCTGTAAGGAATGAAAAAGTTCATACTGTACAAAGGGACCTCCGTGCAGGTCATGACCGAGACTCACCCTGAACCATGAGCTCAGCCATGGACTCTCCGCCGTTAGTCTTCACTTTGTAGTGGCCGCAGTCCTCTTTGGAGGCTTCGTTAATGATCAGGAAGTGTTTGCAGCCGTCCTTTTTGAAGCGGTACTTGAAGGACTCGTCTCTTGTCAGTTCCACACCGTCTTTCTCCCTGTGCAGAAGAAAACTCTCGTTCAAAAAAGTTTATTTGACCTTCATTCATGACCTTCAGCCATGACCTTTAACAGTTTCTCTAAATAGTACAATAAATCTTTCAGTGTCTTTTAGTGAAGAGACGGCTTTTCTGAGGAGTTCTTCATTGCTTGAGGTCGCCAACTAAATCTGTCGCAGGGCCAGAACCTTTTTGGACAGTCAGTTCTGGGCCGGATTGGATGGTTTGGCTGGCTGGATTCAGCCCGCGGGCCACCAGTTCATGATAACTGACCTGGACCCATGATTTTACTTAAGCCCGGTTTTATTTTTCTTGCCATTTTTACTGCTTGAAATCAAACCATGATGTCCTATAAAATCATATTTGTAGTTTCACGTAGATAGTCGCACGTAGATATACATTTAAAATGAACTAAAAGAGCGACGTAAGTAACAAAAAGTTTCAACCATTTAACGTTGGCTCCTTCCTCTGAAACTTCACACTCCAACTCCACACGTTCTCCGTTCATGACCATCTGATCCTCCAGGTTCTTCACGATCAGGACAGGAGGCTCTGGAGAAATCAACAAAAAGTGTGAAGCAGAGTTGTTTTTGTTTTTTTGTTTTCTTCTTGTGGTTCTTCATTGTTTTCTCCAAACCTTTCATTACCTTTAACGAAGAGCTCAGTGGTGCACTTCTCCTCACCCACCACACAACAATAAGCTGCATCGTCTGCCAGGGAGCAGTGGTTGATTGTGAGGTAGCGCATGTTTCCAACACTCTCAAAAATGTACCTAAGTAGAGAGAACGCACTGATTAAAACTGCAGTATTTCCTACTAGGCATTACTTCTATCACCTATAGGTGAAAATATTTCCTTACTTGCTGGTGATGGTGCGAGAAGAGGATTTCAATCAGAAAAGAAGGAAAAGAAAGAAAGTCAGTGTTGAAAGTGTGTGGTTATTATGTTTTATAGAGAGGAGGTGAATTCAGACCTTCCCGTTGGCTGGATGTCCTGACCATTCTTTCTCCATTTCACCTCTACATCAGGATTGGCAACCTCTATAGCCAGTTTTATTTTATGACCTTTTGTCACTTGGTAGGCAGGATCCAATTTCTTCAGGAAAGCTGTGTCACAGAGACGACGGCAAGTGAGGACAAGGAATGAATTTTTTTTTCTTTTTTTTTTTTTAAATCTCTATTCCTGTCAGGAAGAAAAGATCTAGTGCACAACCTTCACTTTTCTTCTCCTCTTTCTTCATCTTCTTCAGCCTCTTCAGCATGCCTCTTAAATCAGTTATGCCGTACTGAAAAGCAATCTTTTCGTACGACGAGGCGGGAGCGTGGCGAAGGATGTCCCACACGTCCAAGTCAGGCTCTGTGCTCACCTGCACCGCCCTGCAGGACAAACAGAGGCAGGTTAATAGAAGTCAACCACACAGTCATGGCAATCCTATTGATGTATGTAGTTTAATGGTCAGACATAACAATAATAAAACAATAATTTCAACCTGTTCATGATTTTATTTAAATGTTAAGTCACCTTTACTAGAGTCAATTGAATTTAAATATCTGCCCAGTTTAGTGGTTAGATTAATCATAGTTGTTTTTTTTTTTTTTAGATTTTTAAATAAAATAATAAGTAGAGTAGCTTCAATTCCAGACATGGTTTTTAAGGCCACATAAAACTGAGATAAAAATCAAATTTTCCATTCAGCTCTGTTATCAGCTGACACTGAGTACATCAGTATTATTCAGTATTGTAGATTTTCATAATATGTTTAACTGTTAAAAACAATTATTACTGTGTTTCATTGTCTTTACACCATATTTTTGGGTGACTGAAAACAAAATTATTTTTGTTTGTTGTCAATAATTATCAGTGTCTAAATATCAAAATATAACCTACTACTAATAAAAAACAGAATATGCAAATTCAACTTTCCAATATAAATCCATTTGAATGTCGACAACATGCCAGCAATTTCTTACCGATTGGAGGATTTTAAGAAACTGCTGCTCATTCAGAGGTAGAACCCGAGAGGCAAATATGGCAAAAATGAAACCACACAAGTTACAACACAGCAAATGCAACACAACACGACACCACAGCATATTAGGGAAATGTTCTTCATCAGTCATAAATAAAAACTAAAACAGAAGCATTACGCTGTATAACATAACAACAATCGAAAAACATGGTTGATTCAAGGGCGGGAATGGAGGTGGGAACAAGGAGCTGTTGAAAGGATGTGTTAAAGTAGCAAACAGAGCAACTCCTAAATATTGGGGGATGAGGAAGGAGTGGTCACATGTTGGCTGGGACACCATTTAAAATAAACAATCGTAATAAAGAATACTATAGCCAGTGTCATCGCTGCTATCGTGTGTTAATGTTAAGTCTTATTTTCATGCGGTTAAGGGTCACAAGGTCAAAATGCACGCGTTTCTTACTCTCTGGTGATGCAGGTCCATGGAGGAAAAAAGAAAAGAAAAAATACAATGAGTTTAAATGAATTCAACATATTTTGTATTTTTCATCTTCATCAAGTGTTTCTCATTGTTGACGTCTTGATCACCTCTTTTTCAATAAGGTGCTGAAATCCAGCTCTCCAGAATCTTCTTTTCCGTCTGTGCTACTGCAGAAACACCAGCCAACAACAGTGTAAAAATGAGCAGCAACAGAGTGAGAGGTTGTTGTTGTTGTTTCTACAGCAATTAAGACAAATGTTAATATGGTTTTCACGCAAAAAAAAAAAGAAAAAGAGAAGGTTTTCTTGTTTGTTTGGGGTTGAAAAGAAAATATATCCATAGACAGTGAATGCAAGCAGATGTTTTGCTGGAGTGTGGCCATGTTTAAAGGAATATTTTCACATTTTGGAGTTCAGCTAGTTAATGAAATATTTTATATAAATAGTTGGTATTGGGCCAAGATGGGGCCAACGTACCCTACATTACATTACTTTGTTATAACAGTATGAGTATAACACTTGCGACTCATACTTTATATGAATTAATGAAATGATTTATTTATTTTATTTATTTTATTTAAACATCTCTATCATTTTTCCTCAATAGTAAATGTACACATTATTATCATGTTTTTTTCTATAGTCTTTTATCTTATCATAATAGATAAAATAAAAGATGCATTCACGTAAAGATGTTTTTGGACCAATAAATCAACTTTCAAAAACTTAAAAAAAAAAATGAAATAATGTTTGATAAAATTTGAGTTATCTACTCATTTCAAGGTACTTGTATTATAATAAGTAATAGTAAGTTGTAGATTCTGGTCTGTGACAGAGGAGTTTCAGATTAATCTGACCAGCTACACTCGTCCTAATACTCTACCATCCTGTGGTTGGACTGGATTTGAACCCTTTTTGGACCTCGTTTGTTTCTGTGCTAACTTTGTTGTTCAAATCAGTGTGTCAACTTCTGCAGGTGTATGATCTGTAGACCGCAGTAGGGGACAATTACGGGACAATAATACTGGACGGGACCAAGTCAAAGTGCGTTGTGTCACCTTTGGCCACTAGGGTAAAGGCGACATGGTTGAATTGTGTTTAGTTCAATTTGATTTTTATTTTACTGATCTGTGATGGGAGTAGGATCTGGAACCAAAGATTTTCCAATTAATTAGGATAATTAGGGATTGGGAATTCTACAGGAAGAAATAATGTCTAGTAGGATCTGGAACCAAAGATTTTCCAGAATGTTGTAGAAATTAATTAGGATAATTAGGGATTGCGAATTCTACAGGAAGAAATAATGCCCAAAAATGTTAAGATTATTCCTTTAAACCATGGGCATCTACAGATGTCCAAGCAAAAAACCAATTCAAAGAAACACTTGTGGTTAAAGACGTCTTCAGACCCTCGACGGGGTCTGCTCAGTGCTGGTCACAGGAGTCAGAGATACAGACATGAGTGTGTGAGGCTGACTGATCTGTTTCTGTCTGCTTCCTGCCGCCGAGGCAGATTAGAACGTCAGTATCTGCTTTACGTGTTAAAGGTACAACACACACACACCAGTGACTGCTTCCTGTGTGTTGAGGAGCACCATGGGCTCTGCTGGTTTATCAGGGTAACACCAGCACCTGTTTGTGCAGCTGGTTCTGCTGTTTGAACTCAGACCCAGGAGGAAATCAGAGAGAGCTAATGGCTGCAGCATGTACAGGACTTGAATATATCCAAAATCTGAAAATGTAGGCTAGAGCTCAATATGATGACAAATGTATCCATTAGCTCTTCCACTGACGTCCTGCCTGGGCCTTTTCTCGTAAATACAGCAGAACGAGGCGACTCTATCCAAAAACTGGTTCTCTTCTTTAACAGTCAGAGTTCTCAGAGTTTGAATCAGGGCCTCTGTTTTTGCAACAAACCCCTGGACTACCTTGTTGATGGTCCACTTCTCTTCTTGGCACCAGACTCACTCCTAATAGGTCAGTATTTCCACAGTTATTCTTTGAACATATACCATGTAACAGTTGCACTTTCTTTTGTTGGTCAGATCAACATCAGGCGAAGAACTGCTGCAGATCTGAACCAGACAGAACCAGTCTGTCCAAAACTTTGCCCCAGATTCAAACATATATACAGTACTGTATTTGCAGATGATTCTTTCTATATATTCTTATATATTGCCCTCAGAACTAACTAAAATATATTTATAACCAAGACTACTGTTTATTGTACTTTGCACTGCATGTTGCTTTTAGACGCAACAAAAGTTTACATTTACCTATATATGTTAAGATTGATATAAACTATTCTGACCCAGATATAAAAAGTAGAAACAAACATCACACTCTTGCATTTTATGTAATAATAATAATAATAATAATAATAATAATAATAATAATAACTTTTATCAGTTTCTATGGAGAAGTATTGTACTGTACTAGAACCCTAATCTGGTTGTGTTGTGTTTGTTTAGCAGTGTGGACCATTTACTTCTGCATGTTGTTGTTATTTTTCTGTATAATTACCGTGTTTACTTGCATTTGTTTGTTCAGTCTGAGTCTGGCCCTAGTCGGTTTATTGTTTGAGAAAATAGTTCAAATGTTTACGCATAAATGCACATTTAACAAAGAGCATTTGACCAGAAAAAGGGTTATTTTCTTCTTCCCTGGCCTTCACTAATGAGCTAAAATGACATATTTTCTGATGGGGGCAGGTTGTATAAACATGCAATTGAGGGAGTAATGTATGTAATCATCATTTTAAACCAGATCCTGGAGAAAAAAGACTGTGGTACCATAAAGCAGTGTGAAAGAACATGGCTTTATCTAAAATAATAACTTTCCTCATTTAAAAGACTAGGAAAAGCTACTGATTTACAAACTTCTAAGCATTTTGAAGCCAGGCAGGAAGTTGTTAGTGAACCTTTCTAGGCTAAGGGACTATAACAAAGAAGCAAAACTTCTTTGTTATAGTCTAAATGTACATAACATATACGTTAGACCAGTGTTTTAATTGAAAAAAACAAAAAAAAAACCAAAACTTACGTGCGTCTGAATGCTGCTCTAATGTCGAAACCCTGAGGTGCTCCGGCCTCTGAAAAACAGGACCAACATCTCACTGCCTCTGCTTTTACAGTAATACATCACATCAGTGGCAGTGTAAGTGGTCCGTACCATGTACAGCCAGGTCAAAGTTGCAGCTGTCGAACTTGTCTTTGGATGACACCTCACATCTGTAGCCTCCTGCAAAGTTGGCTTTGGCAGCGATGATGTGCATCTCAAAGGTGTGAGTCTGCGGCCACATTCAGCAGAAAACATTACCACCAATCGAATCGGACATTTTCACGTTTTTACATTTTACAACACCAGCACCAAACCTTAGTGTTGCGGTCAAACGACTCCTTGAGCTGCAGGTGTTTCCCAGACTTGCTGGCCAGGTCCATCCACTTCCCTTTGAACCACTTGACCGTAGGTTTCTTCAGTAATGACGTTGCGCTCACTTTAGCCACAAACGTGATGTTTCCACCTGAATGGAAAGTTATTGGAAATTTGCCAAGTTTGAAATCCTATTCTTTTTTTTTTTCATGACTAGCATGCTAAGGTCCTTCACCTTCAGTGACTTCTCCACTCTGGGGCTTCTCCACGAAGAGACCTGTCAGGTCCTGTCGAGTGTCTGCAGGCTGTTCGTCTAAAAATCCATTGTGCAAAATGAATGTTAAAAGGAGATCAAACCACTGTCTGGTTTAACTGCTGCTCAGACGTGTCCATGCACAAACTTCACTTTTGATGACTTCAGCACTTTAACGTATCAACGTGTCTACAGATCTATATTCTCTCTGTCTCTGAGTTACATGCAACTGTTGTCTCAATTGTTGTATCAGAAAGCTGGTGCTGGTGCCAAAAAAAGGCAGACACAGTTTGGTATCATCTGCATATTGGGAGTATATACCACACAAAAATATGTGATTTTAGCTAACAAATGGTTTAGGAATATTCTAGATGTTTTATTTACTGACCTTCAGCCGAAGGGCCATTTTTGGCTGATCCTTTCACATCCTGTCCTGCTGCTGGTTCAGTTGCAGCTGGTTCTGTTGCAGCTGGTTCTGTTGCAGCTGGTTCTATTGCAGCTGGTTCTATTGCAGGTGCTTCCTGTTCTTCTGTTTTACTGGGCTCCTTGCATCCATCAGGTTCAGCCTTACTGGTAATTTCTGTGTTGTTATCACAGAGATTCAAAGACATAAAATTAGATTTTACCAGCACCAACATAAACACGTGTTTTTGTTTTGTTTTAACTCTGACTGTGACACAGTTTAGGCGCTGGCAAATATTTATCACCCAAATATTTCTGTTGTCTTATCATTTCTGAAAGTCTGGTTGACTTTCCATTTCTTATCAGTTGTCTCTGCAGCTGCTCTTGAGTCCCAGTGAAGTGGATGTGTGTGTAAGGGTCAAGGTCAATATACAGACAGTGGACAAATAGGACAGGACCATGATATGTAGCCCACTCAGAGAATACCATTTTCTTTTTCCCAAGATTATTTACATTCATTTCAATTGTCCGTCTTCGTCTTAGCCTTGTTAATTCTTTTCAGGGTTAATTAAAAAAGAAAAAGAAGAGAAAAGTGAAACAAGATTGAGGGTCAAATACTTCTCAGACGTGGACCACAAAAGACTTGGCGTGCACAGTCTATCAGTAGGTGCGTAGTTGGATCAGGTGCCGACACATGGTGATCATGCAGTGCGCCAAACATCTACTGGCTGGTCTAGTGCATTTCTCAACCATGTGCTCTCAGCAGTGTGGTTAGGGTATCCCACCTGGTGTTTGTTTGACCTTCAGCTCAAACTTCACCTTTGACCCGCCGGCAATTACTGCATAGACATTAGCATCACCCTGGGTAATGGCATTAATGGTGAGGGCGTGCTTGTTGCCCTTGGCTGTGATCACAAATTTGTCACCGCTCGTAATGTCCTTAGTGCTGCACTGCCATCTGACTTTTGCGTCAGGCTTCTCCGTCTCAGCTTCAAAAAGCACAGAAGAACCTTCCACTGCCTCCTGACTCTTTGGTTTCCTGGTAAATGCCGAGACTGAGGAGGGAAAGTCATTTCAAAACATAAAAGTCAGAGCCTAAAAATGGACTGTATTTTAGAAATGCAAACTTCAGTTTACTTTTCCTGATAGAAAATGTTTGGTTACATTCTTAGAAAGTCACATTCACCGTTAATCTTTTCAAACTAAGTCTCGGGGTGACCTTCAGTGGACACCAGTGGACATGTTCAGGTCACAAGGACAGTTGTCCTCTGTCTCATAAAATGTTTAAAACAATGTAAAAAAAAGAAAGACAGAAAACAAACCCACAGTATTTAAACGCACACACACACATATATACACATATATATTTACGTGTGTGTAATCCATTGACTTTCACAACACACACACACATGAAAAAAACAAGTCCACACCATATGAGATGACCCTGAGTGTTTAAATATAGGCTCCTGGTAGAGTGACCAGAGGGACGGGCCTCGGCTGCAGCAGGGACACAGGTACCACAGACAGGGGATTAGACTCCGTCTATTTCTGTGACTCCAGAGGCACAAAAAGAATGATGTGCTCTCAGTCTGTCTGCAGCTAGTATTTCTATACAGCAACACATTACCTCCTCGTCATATTGGCATTCACATTTGTGCAGTTCCTAGAGTTGTATTTTACATGTTTTTTAAATGATGAGAGTTCACGTGCCTTCACTTAATGTTAGCAACCTTTGAGGTTTTGTTTGTTTAGCCTTGATTAATGGATTTAATGAGCTAATTATTTTACTTAATAATATTATACCTACATTTCATTTATTTCTTTGGCAGAATCAACATTTTATTTATGTTAGTTTGTGACCTTCTTCATTAAAATTAATGAGAAAGGGGTTGATTTTTTTTGTTTGTTTATTTTTCTTTTTTTGCTGGTCTGATGATGCTAGCAAAGTAGAATAGATCATTTAGAAGTTCTATTTAAAAAAAAAACTCTCTTACTGAAGAGTCAGCTGGAGATGGACATATGCCATGATTAATCCACAAATACTCTGTTATAATTCCAATGAAACATCTATGTCCACATATATGTGTATATATATATACATATATATTTATACACACATATATGCATATAGACATATATACACAGGCTCTTGTAGCTACTGAAACATGACGTACATGTGCACTGATTATAATTAATAATAATGCTACAGCATCATGGTGACTCAACAAATACTCAACACATAGTCACCAAAGACTGTGATCACATAGACACAGGCCATGTGGACCACTCTGTGTCATCTGAAACGACATACAGTCTCACAACTTGTCTCACAATGTCCATTCTAACTATAAAGGCAAGAGAGAAGCAGGGAGGGAGGGAGGGAGGGAAGGAAACAGTGGAAAGTCATTTGTCAAGTAGGAATCCTGTTTGGCATTTTTGCAACAGTGTTGCACTTGTTGAATGCAGCGATGCTGGAAATGTAAAATGCGGTGTCTATTTCACACTGTGTTTCCACTGAGGCCGTATGAGTGAGTGAGTGAAGTTCCCGTCGGTCCAGAATGACATTCACGTGTGTTTAGGACACACAGATCCCATTATTGATGTGCTGGAATTCAGGCCAGCCACTGACCGGGTCATAAAACACTTTTTCTAACGCCTTACCCCTAATTACTTACAGTTTACATTAGATCATATATAGTGTACGGATTAGCACTCTTTATACATTAAATTGTAATTGAAATGTATTGTTTGTAATATAGCTTTGCAATTTTCTTTAAAATATTTCTCTCTGCTCTCAAAGTAGTAGCTGTATTAAATATGATTATCTATTGTCTACTGGATTATTTTATTTTATTTTATTTTATTTTATTTTATTTTATTTTATTTTATTTTATTTTATTTTATTTTATTTTATACATTGTATTAATTAAGGTTTATCAGACTTATATAACAAAGACTTGTGGTTTAAAATGACCACACTGTTCAGTTATTCAAATGTCCACGTCTGTATCACAGAAAGAAGCTGACTCAGCACTTACTTGTTTTTTTGACCGGCTCCGGCATCGTGGCTGATTCTTTCTCCTCTCCTCCTCAGTGCTCCTCACTTTTCTTAAAGCTTCTGCTTCCTTCACGTCAACCCTCCGTGGCTTTAGTAGTGGTGCTGTGCCCCACCTTCCACCAACTCCCCCTCACTAACCCCCTCCACGAACCATCCCACCTCTCTTGGCATTTTTTTTCAAGGCCCAGTACAGTTTCCAAAAAAACAATAACCTCCTCTCTCATCATAGCTCCTCTCACTCCAGCAGCCCACCCCCCCGCCCCTCTTCCTCCTCCCCCTCTGCAGTGACCAGTCCTGTCTGACCTCAGGCTATGTTTCGACCAGCCTCTCCTCCAACACCTCAGCTGGATGATAGATTGAGGGGGCAAAGAAGGAGAGGAGGGGAGGCAGGTGGTAAATTTAGAATCTTGGACCTATCAGAACCTTGGTCTGTGCTGCTCTGTGTTATTTTAAAAAAGAGTTCAAATAACAGCGATTGAAACACAAGGAGAAGGGGTTCAGTTCCATTCTGTTGTCTTTTGTTCAGCTCTCAGTCATGAACTACTTACACATCGACCATGGAGGGGAGCTGTTGGCTCTTCAAAGAGTGACTACCTCATATTTGGTTATTTTAGTTACTGCTTCCTTGACGTGAAAAACATGATTTTTTTAAACCACTTTTTTTATTGTTAATATCTAAACACGCACTAAAACATATAATAAAGCTCTCTGTTGATTTAATGTTAAATTCCTTCCATTTATTGAAGATGAATTCCTGGCGTTAATAGTTAACTTGTCCAAAAGAAACCTGCAATATAAATCATTTAATTTTTTTAAAAATTTAATTCACCTAAAAGTTGGAGTCAACACCTCAAAATAAGCCTCTTTTTTAAGATATGCATGGTTGTATTGACATACCAAACCATGACTTACAAATGGCTGTCCTCTGACGATGTTACAATATATACAGTACAACACGTAAATTCACCAGTAGATGTAGCTAAATCACACATACGGATTTAAGCTATTATATTGATTTTCTACCAAACCATGAATGCTTTTCTTAAGAAGCTGCCACAGCTGACTGGATGAAGGCAGGAGTGTCAGGGTTCACATGTGCACACAAGGGCAAGTACATACTCACCCAGTTTGGCACGTACTGTAATGACCTCACCACTTATTTTTGTTCAGCACTTTAACTTCAATAGTTCAATAGAACTTGGGAAGTAAAAAATAAATAAAAAATCACTTTTTTTCTATCCAGCTGGTGTCAGCCTGCTATTTTTTTTATTGCAAATTTAAATGTCAATGAGCAAATGACAGAATTAACCAAATGTATATGTGGCACTCTGTAAGATGTGGTTAAGAGATGAGAACATATGTAATTATAAATAACAACACGTACACTCACTTGGATACATAGTTCTGTCAGGATTTACAAATACTGCCCTGAATGACCTTTTCCTTTTTCTGTAATAAAGAATGTTTTTTAAGTGTTCACTCATTAAGTCTTAGTCACGACAGGATGTTTACCACTAGATGTTGCTAAATCCTACACGGCGGACCTCTACAGGAGAACTTGTGAAGGCAGCTCAGTGAGAAAACATTTGGCAGGTTGTTAAAATGTTTTGACCCATTTAAAGAACAGATGGAATTGTTTCTTTGTTTTACAGAGCAGTATTATTTTTTTTACTGCTGTATAAAATATATAACATAACACCATGCAATTGTATAAAGTTTAGGATTTTTACAGTAAAAAAAAAAAACAATACAAAGAAAGATTCAGCCTTACACATAAGAAACAAATGCTTGTTGTTGCAAAGCTAAAGTGCCCCCCTGCTGGCCACAACCCGTATTAACCACATTGACTGACATTGTCTTCATGTGATATTGACTGACAGAGATGCAAAAAAAAAAACAAAAAAACAACAACAACAGAAAGAACAAACAACAAAAAAAATTCATTTGAGCTTCACATGAATAAAGATTACGCTGCCTGAAAATTGCGATTATTTTTGCTTGTTTAACTTTTGTGCACCGTCTGCCTTATCTTAAACACTGGGTGGCCTCTCCTCTCATCTTTATTTAAATGAAAGCTGCTCACCCAGCACATAAAAGCTTCTATTTATGCTCCTTATTTGCAAGCCTGTAATGCCCTTGTGCTTGCGTCAGCTGCAGACAGTGGCATCTGAAATGTACATTTGTTTCCAGTTTATAGGAAACACAACCAATCAAACAAACACAGACTGATACAGTAGATATTCAATAAAACTATCAGTGAAAACGATTCCATTTTAAAACTGAAAAAAAGAAAAGAAAAAGAAAAAGATCATGTTGATTCTTTTAAGAAGGTGAACTTATTATATTTCCGACTGCTCATTCTAAACACATAAAAAATAGTTTATTTGCATTCATTCTTCTTCCTAACGACAGCTTCTAAGTTTAAAGCGACTGCAGCTTTGACCCGTTTTTACACAGATTTCAGTGTACAGCAGTATTGGTGCTATTCACAAAATAAGATATAATTTACCAGTAACAGTGTATATATCTCCCAGAACAACTTCCTGTCTACATGTACGTGCTCCTCTCTAGATGATTCCTCCCCAGGACCTCGTCGCTGAACTGGTACGTCAGCTTCTTCTTGATCTTCTTCACCTCCCCGGTTTTGCCGTAGTTGCGTAAAGCTCTGGCCATCTTCTGATAGGTCATTTTTTTCCGGTTGCCTTTCTGGATTCCCCAGCGGTGTGCCAAAGCCTCCTTGTGTTTGGAGGAGAACTGGAATGTCCCTTTGTCTCTGTCCACCCACCAGATACTGTCCTTCATGTCGCCATTCCTTAACAGGTCCAGGAGGAACTGGTACAAACGGATCTTCTTTTTGCCTTTTGGGAGAGATGAGATGATTTATGTTTGAATAGTTTTACTGGGGTATTTTAGAAAAAAAGATTAGCGCTGATATAGTTGTACTCATTAAAAACAAAGATATGTTTTTACTCATATATTCCATAAAGGAAGCTAGCTTCCTTTACAACTAGGTCCAGTTTGATGGTGTATAAACACTTTCTGTTTCTAGCTTTTTGCAACTAAATTTTTTTTTTTTTAATTGGAAAAATAAAAAAAACATACTATTTGAAAACTGAATACGACTAAATGATTGAGAAAAGGGAATTTGTAGTGCTCATACTCAAATGGAAGACCTGGCTAACCAAAGCAACCCCTGATGATTACACTGCCCCAAGTGGACAGATGAGTCAGCCTGGATTATACTAAAACATTTTGTGTTCTTTTTAATCTTCTTCTTAAGTCGCCACAGGTTTTCACCTTCGTCTTTTGTGCTGGGGGTTTGGTGGTGTTCCAGTTCTTCTATTTATAAGGATAGATGCAGTTGTGCAACAAATAACTGCACATGTGCAAAATCGACTTTGAAGAGTCAGCAGAACACAGGGCTGATGTGACAGAATTGGCCCCTTACCAAGAAAAACTCTGGACTCTGGAGCCAGTTATATTCTCACCATGTATTAAAATAAAAATAAATAACCACGGTCGCACGTATTTGTACTGAAGTAGCCTAAGGTGTTTGCTTTGTTGAAAGCATTAGTGAAAAAAAAAGACACTTCCAAACAGCAGCGACACACTGCGACAGAATAAGCACACTCAGCAAAGACTGGTGCCGCTTTGAAAGAACGGGACTGATTTACATTCTACACATTGGGGAACGCAGAGGGAGCTCTGTGTTTTGACACGTCTACATATACAGTCCCGTGACCTGGATGACTCTGTGGGGTGCTGCACAGTTGGTGTGTCTTAAAGTACAAGTGTTTACTGCTTCCTACACGTACACACTGTATGAAATGACCTGCTAGTCTAGATTCTTACCAAGGTCTCCGGTGGAGACATAAGGGACTCTGTCTCTCAGACACTCCTCATCGGACACCTCCAGTGGAGTACTTCGTCCTCCGTGGTCTTCGTCATCGGAGCTTCGCTGGGACATGGGAGGGTAGATGGAGCGAGGGAAGAATGCAATCTGAAACAGCAGTTAGGGATCGTTTTGTTTATTTGTGTTGAATTTGGAAAAAAGGTAATTGTATTTGGGCTTGGGTTTGCCAAGAGGGGCCCTGGGGTGACTGAGGTCATCCTAATAAAGGCTACTGCCATTGTCTATCCATCCATCCATCCATCCATCCATCCATCCATCCATCCATCCATTTATCATCTGCTGTTGTTAAACAAACCTAGCAAATTTCTTTGGTAGTTAAAATAAAAAGAAAGTTAGAAAAAACACCATGTGACCTGAGGTCATGTCTGTAGCTTGTACACAACAGCACAGGGATCTTCCATTAAAGGGTTACGGCCTTAAAATGTGGTTTGATAAGTGCAAGCTGTTGCTTAAAATTCGTCAAGATTCTAAGCAACCGATGGATTGTGAAACCCGTTTCGTCTAATGAGAAACCGAATAAAAATAACATTTTATATAACACGCAAAAGTTTATATAACACCTCTTTTGGTTAGTAAAAAAAATAACAGAAATTGTACGTCTCACATCCGCTAAGGTTTCTCCAAAGGTTATTTTTAAATGGAATTTTGAGTCATTAGGTTCAGTTGTTTTGTAATAAACAGAGTCATGTACAGTGTTGAGCAACTTGACACCATCCACGCAGACAACAGTGCGATAGATGGTGTGAATAACACTGAATAGAAATGACCCCAAACAGAGGAAGTACAGCTCTGTGTTTTTATTTACATACATGTAAAGTACTATCCAGTTTTTATTTACATACATGTAAAGTACTCAAATGAAGTAATCAATGATCTCTATCCATCATTTTAAATGTTGTTGTTCTCCACAGGATTGTCTAAAAAAGGTAAATGACGGGAGGAGAGAGAGTTTTTAAACCGAGATAGAGTTTAAAATATAAACCTTCTCTTTACTTCCCTAATTCACAGATCCAGGGAGGAAATGGAGTTCTCACACTTTAAAATACCGAGTCATTTCAGAGAAGGGTTCTATATGAGGTATAACCCCCCCCCCCAAAAAAAAACAAGTCTGATTCACTTCCTAATTTTTCTTGTTTTTCTGAAAAGTCATTTAACCTTTTTATCATTTTTTTTCATAATTTCTTTATCTGAATGGCTGATGTGTCGAATGTGAAGGTGAACATTGGATTTTTCAGTCTTGTCTGTGTTATCGCTTTTTTTTAATGAAGTAAGGTTTTCAGCACTGATGGTTAATTTGTAGTTCATTAGTTAAATTGAATATAACAATCTGTCTTCAGCATGAATATCCTGCAAGTCTCTTTAGATATTTGATCTCATCTAAATCAGTGGCTCAGAGTTGAATTCTAATCTTCTAAACACAAACTGTTTCCTACCACTTGAAACTGTAGGTATTTCCACGGCACAATAAAAATAATATCCAGCTCTACAAAGTGTTAATTTCTTTTTAACTTTGCTGGGATTTTTTTTAATTTAATTTTATAACTAAGAAATTCCCAGGGATTATTTGTAATGATGGAAGATGGTAGGAATCCTGAAAAAACCCCATCTACCATGACTCTTCAAAGAGTCCATTTGTATCAACCAAAAAAAATATTCAAGGCAGACTGGGGGACATTTGCTTAAAAAACATATTAATTTACTAAAAATATAAATAAAAAAAATACTGCCATTAAAGTTTACTACTGACTGATTAAACTTTATAAAAAAAGAAACTTTCTGGTTAATACTTTATATATAGGACTGTCCCTTCTTTACTACATTCTATATAATACATTTAATTGATTATTCTTATTCCTTTTTTTTTGGTAATTATAACAATATACACTTTTCAGAGTGATTACAATGACAGCTTGGTTCATGAAGTACTTACTGCACCACTAACTTTATTATTATTATTATTTTCTGATATTGAATTGTTTTTTTTTTTACTTAAGTGCAGTAGAATGACTGCTGCTGTGGACGTTGAACCAGCTTCACTTTCAAACTTTAATTTAACAACTCCACCAGAAGTTTACAGGTTTGCACAAGAAGAGTGGAAAACATTGACACAACATGGTTTCATTTTCTCCATCCGGTTGCTAAATATTTCAGTCTGCATTGGGACATGGACGCAGAAGTTTGTCGGTGCGAACCCTGAGTGCTTTCACGTCTGAACTCACCGGTTGCTGTAGCACATGTGCATGCGTTCCTGGGTCCAGAAGGTTCTCTGCATCGTACCGTATGGTGTCGGGTCGTAGGAGGCCTGGTGGGTGGAGAGTCTGCACGCTTTGGAGCTCGGTGAAGTTGGTTTCCTGGAGGTTTTCAAATTCTGCAGGGTGTATGTGTGGCTGAGGGTGGTAGTCCCAGTGGTCTACACAAAGACAGGGGTTTGGATTTGTTTTTTTTTCATCAGTATTCAAACACATTTGTGGACGAGCTTGACCCTAACAATTGTTAGTTTACAAGAGCCCTTTAAATAAATGGTGGAATACAGTGTGACCCATTAGACACTCATGCTGTCACACACATCTGCATTCCACTGTGCCTCAGTTTGCACCCAGTAACAAAGACAGTGGAATTATTTTTCCTGTTTATTGCCACACACTTGCAGTTTTGTCACAGCTGTTGATTTTCAGTTTGTGCCAAGTTTCATGTCACGCAAACCCTTTTTATCCCCCAGTGATTTTAACACATAGATCAGAAAACCTAACTAAACCACCTATAACGATGCTATTCCAGATATATTCTATATGAACATTTGAATTTTGTTTAATTTGGACACAATGTTACAATTAACCTTCAAATTCTTTAAATTTTTGCCTGTGCGCTTTCCCCTCAACTCATTCACCAGGTTGTTTTGGTACAATATTTAAAACAGTTGATTAGAGGAGAAAGTAAAGCATGACTGACGTATCAATAAAAACCCCAAGGGGCGAAAGTTGTTCTGTGTCTATAGTTGTAGCAACCGAGAAGAAAAGGCATCTGTTTCCTGTGTTCCATACACCCTAATGCGGTGAACTCCAGCTGCATGAGCTGCAGACTTTTATGTACAAGACAACAGAAGACCGGGTGTCACCACATCAGGCCGCGGTGGTTAAATTAGGGATTGTAATAATAAAAAAAAAAACCTTCATTGTGAAAACAGAATAGTTTTCTTGTGCCTAAAACATTCAAAGTGGTGCCTTTGAATAGAAGTTTAGTTTCAGGTCTTTGGTTTACCCTTCCACAGGTCTACCTCAGTCAAATGTCAAAAGTCATTTTTAGTTTCTCACTGCGATTTTTATATCACACTGATTTAACATGAAACAAAGTCGGCGCTGGAGCCAAAACTCACCTGTCTGTATATCTGTGTCAAGAACATACGGATTATAATATTCTGTGATTTGATGTCTGTAGATCTCGGGGTCGTACATTTCTTCTGCGTGCTGTGGAAAACAGAAAAACAAATGGTGAGCCACAGAAGAGTATCTTCAATTCTTCATCTCCACGTCCAAATTCTTACAGTGTCAATATCACCCAGTCTCTCTGCCGGTTTAACAAATGAGATGAAACGTCAGAAAATTGTTGTCTTTAAGGGAGATATATATTTTTTTCTGTTACGTGTGTGAAACTTTCAAGAGTCTACAAGTTTCAATTTCGTGACCATAGTTAATGTCTTCCACACTCCGTATCCTCTATTCAAATTGAGGACAACTGATAGTATACACTGTCCACACCTTCCCACAGAAATGCAGACTATTTTCTTTTTGTATTTAAAGAGTTTCAAGAGATTCAATAAATAAATAAATAAAAAAATACTTACAGGCGGGATGAGGTAGCTCTCCATTCTGTATGGATGCAACATGGAGACCTCTATTCTGTTGAACCAACTTAGGATGTTTGGCAGCATAAAAAAAACACACACTCACCACCTTTCAAAACTTTTGTGACACCATTGCACAATATTACAAAATTTCCTCTCACTTGTCGAGAAAAAATCTAACAACAATAACAACAACAAAAAAAAAGCTAACAAAGCCTCTCTAATTGTACGACATAGACTTCTGACCTCCGTCGTCCTCGGAGAGACCTGCAGTCCTGTCTGACAAATTTAAATAAACCAAAGCCACAGTTCGAAGGCAAGATGGCAAAGGAACTTTTGACTTCAGTAAAACATTCATGTGGGTGGGAGCAGTAGAGTGTGTCTGCTGAAGCTTCCTGGCTATTGATGATTTGTCTAAGGAGACCATCAAATTTTTATCAACTTCTATCTACTGTCTCCTCCCTCAGTGGGCAAAGATAACTAAGAGATTTTCTTGAAAGCCCCCCTCCCCGACACCAACACCACCTTTAGCTGAAACAGTTACAGTCGGCTTCATTCCATTTAAAGGTCAAGAACTCTATTTAGTTCATGATTTGTTCACTGATATATGTCTTTTTTTAAAATATGTAAATAAAAAGGAAATAAGACTGTATAACCCCCTGTGTACAGGAGATTTAATGTTTTAAAAATGTATTTTGAAACTCTTCTTTTTGCTGATGACGAATTTGTATATATAAATAAAACAATAAAATGAGACATACATATGAAAAGTAATGAGTACAAAAAAGTAGCATAAAAAAGAAATATATATAAAAATTAAAAATAAATTTGGTTGCACTGCTGTAGTCACACAATTATAGGTTGTTCCTATACATTTGGTTATTGAACGTTCAGTGTCAGACAATAGAACATGCTGTTTACAACAATGGCTGCTGAATATTTACATTTTTTGTGTTTAAAAAAGGTTGTCCAATTAAATCATGGCATGATTTTAGTCACCCAATTAGTAACTCTATGTACTCAGGTGAAAGTGTTAGAAAGTAGTGACAAGTATAAACTGTATTCTGAATTGTTACCTCGATTATCATAAAATTACATAATTATTATCGAATACTTTTCTGAATCTTTGGTGCACAATTCATGACAAATGCCAAAAACAAACAAACAAACAAAAAACATCCAACGTCTGTTGTACTTGATTTAAAAAAATTATTTATTTGATTTTGGTTCAACAAATACAGTGCCATGTCAGAGGGTTTCCGTCGATCACATATAAAAACAAATATAAAATATTTGTATATTTGTATTTAAAAATATTTATATAAAACAAATACAAGAACTGAGAGGGTTTCCGTCGATCACATATAAAACAAATACAAGAACTAAAAAGTGCACACAGTTACACAATAACCATCGTTACTGTTTGGTGAAATCAACAGAAGCTATTTGGATAAAATTCATGAATACACATACACACACCTCTGGCAGATAAGATGGCGGTGCCATATCAGTGGAGTGACTAGTCTCTTGTGGATGGTGACCATGATTGCGGCGAGGCTGTTAAAACACTTCCTGTGCGAACTGAGAAATGACCCAGGCGGACAACACAGTCTGTTTCATTGGTTCAATGATCCACATACGTGATATGATGGTATGTATATGGAATATTGTCCCACATTGGTGTTCCTGGTGCACATCTAAAAATTCAATTATTATTATTTTTTATCAAAGAAAGGGTTTTTGTGTTTTCATTCCTGACTTGGTTCTACTTGTTTGACGAGCCATTTGTTAGTTTTTAGATAAACTAAAAAAGCAAATCAGAATTATCAGAATTGTGTGCTGTGTGAAAAGACTTCACAGAAAGTATGTTGTGCTTGTTGAAATATTTGTTGATATCCAGTTATTTGTGTATGCTCACTTTGAATTAGGAATCAATCTGGACTGCAGGCAGGCCAGGTGAGCACAGGAACTTGTATTAGTCCATATTTTTATATGTGCTTTTATATTTTCTGCAGTATGAGGCCAACCAGTGCCGGTAATGGTCAAGCTGGACGAAGATGGATGGATAGACTATTGTTCTTACTGTTTCTTTTTCTTATTGTCTTCAATTTTGGAATTGAATGGACTCTTTTGTTTAACTATTGTTGTAAGTTAAAAGATGCCTTCACAGTATTTAAAAACAACTCTGTCATTCTGGTTTTAACACAGAACAAAAGCCTCGCTGTCTTTGTCTTTTTTGTGGCCCAAGTCAAGAGGTAAATGCATCATGCACGACAAGAGTTACATGTTATCAAATGAGGAACTGGGAAGTTTTCTTTCAGATTCAGTTCCCTGAAGGTTGCCTTTAAATGAATCCCTTTTTGTGTCATAAGGTCTGGATAATCCAGACTTCAATAAGAGCAGCTTGGTCTCTATACATTCGTTTACGTGTTTTGTATCTCAGATTTCTGTGTGGCTTTCAAGCGTGTGGTTGATTTCAACTTCAACAGTTAAA